CGTATAAACACTGAAATTTGATTCAGTAATCATTTATTTTTTCCTCTCTCAATAGGACTGTAAACTTACCTGCCTTTTGGAAGGTAAAGTTTCCAGCAGTCAACTCTGACAGTCGGACCGAACATTCTTGCTGTAACACTCTCGTTTGTATATGTTTGTATTACTGTTTCTGTTAATATATTTGTTTAACTCACTTCCTCTATTTGTGTCTTTATTTCTGGTCCTAACAAAGCCACAACATTATCTATCTCATATGTATTTATCATTCGGTTCCTATCTATCTATCTATCTATCTATCTATCTATTATGGTAATTTACCCAGGTACGCATGGACTCTCCCATCTATAAATAGGAGCAGGTACTGCCTTTTGGATTGGGAAGTTTCCAGCAGTCAGCTCTGACAGTCGGACCGAACATTCTTGCTCTAACAATCTCATTTGTATATGTTTGTATTACTGTTTCTGTTAATATATTTGTTTAACTCAATACCTCTTTTTGTGTCTTTATTTCTGGTCCTAACAAGGCTAAAACACTCATATACACCACATATACACCACATTTACACCCTTGTGCAAATTAATTGAAACAACCGCTTTAGTTTCCTTTCTTTCACCATACGGTCAGTTTTAAACCCACTGGAGTGACAGAGTGCAATCGATTTCTATTTTTTCCTCAAATTAGGTCATTTGCAATGGTATGCGGTAATATGAATCTATTTCCGGTGTACATGATGAAATTTGTTTGGCCTTGAAAAATATTGCGTCATCTGTGATTGCATCAGATTTTTATGACGCCCAGACACTATTGTCTCGACTGTCTATTAGTTGTCTTACGCCCATTGACTGCGATGGACCTTACTCCATGGAATCTTACGAAACTTTTAACGCTGCACGAACACACTGGCAAGCCTTACCAGTGAACAAATTAAAGTACTATAGATTGGCTCGGAAACTCTCATGATTTAAATCTAGTCGAGAATCCGTGGTCAATCTGCAAGGAACGACTTCGTGGAATGGGCACACGAAGTACTAACGTGTTTACTGGATAATGTTTCATTGGAAAAATACAAAAAAAAGGAAATATTAACGGAGTTATTAGTTTTGTTTCAATTAATTTGCACAAGGGTGTAATGACGCACAAATTTTCTATTAGATTAATATATAAAGAGGCTGAGAACCATTCTATTAATTTGGTACCTTTGTGAACACTTTCGGCAAGGTTGGTAAGTTGAAGAGTATGAAGGAGCATTGTCTTGGATAAAAATACTCTTTACCTTAAACCAGTGATTCCCAAACAGCGCGGCGCGCCTCATAAGTGCGGCGGAAGAGGATAGCGGGTGAGGCAGAAGAGGATAGCAGGTGAGGCGGAAGAGGATAGCAGGTGAGACGGAAGAGGATAGCAGATAAGGCGGAAGAGGATAGCAGGTGAGGCGGAAGAGGATAGCAGATGAGGCGGGAGAGGATAGCAGATGAGGCGGGAGAGGATAGCGGGTGAGGCAGAAGAGGATAGCAGGTGAGGCGGAAGAGGATAGCAGGTGAGACGGAAGAGGATAGCAGATAAGGCGGAAGAGGATAGCAGGTGAGGCGGAAGAGGATAGCAGATGAGGCGGGAGAGGATAGCAGGTGAGGTAGAAGAGGATAGCAGGTGAGGCGGAATGATTGAAAGACATTGAAAGATTTAGAAACAGTTTTAAAAAATTCATATGCCAAAAGTAAATATGATTTCAAAATGTAAAATATTATTATGGATTTCTTGTAATTGCATGCATGAGTCCCAGTATAAATAGTTATAAATAATTATTACTCGATTTTATCATTGTGATATTTTTGCATTATATCAAGTATTAAGAATATAGTAACTAGGGTCTGCAAATTGGAGGAGAGGGTTATCAATGATAATGTTATGACTTCGAATCCGTGGGGACCATACTTCTGCAAGTGAAACCACACCGACGCACTCCATGAAGGCCAGCCTTCTTTTTTTTAAAAAAAAAAAATTAGCATTTGTCTTAATACCAACATCAACTTTGAAGGGACCTATAATTATATTAACAAGATTCGTTCATTATTTCACCTCCCTACTCTTTTCTTTAAAGCCATTTTGGTAGACAAGGACTCAATTTCCAGCCTAGCCATCAGTCGGCCTCAAATATAAAACGACATTTACCTCTAAAATATTAGTAGGGGCATTTTGACATGGTGTAATGATCAGCAAGCTTGTTAGCAAGGTCGCCTCGCTAGATCAATTACGACTGAATAGTGAGTTCGATCCTCACTGGGTGCTCTATACCTTTGGCCTTGTGCCACATCTAAGATACGCTTAGAAAATCATTTTGGGCACTTCGACGTGATATAATGGTTAGCGAGATTGTCTCGCTAGATCAAATACGAGTGAGTTCGATTCTCACTGAGTGCCCCATACTTTCGGCCTTGTGCCACATCTAAGATACGCTTAGAAATTCATTTTGGCCACTTCGCCGTGCTGTAATGGTTAGAAAGCTTGTCTCGCTGGATCAATTACGACTGAATAGTGAGTTCGATCCTCACTCATTTTTATTTAGTACCGTTCAGTTACACACTCTCCGACTCAGGGATTGAACTCACAATAACTGTCACCAAATTCTCAAACCAACGCTTTTACCCAGTAGACAATTGTAGATCCATATTTATGATTGTAATTACAATATTTTGTTAAAGTTGTCAAGCTTAAATATTTACTGGTACGATAGAGGAATTTCTACGGATATTTTATTGTCTTAGAATTCGCTATGAGATTACTTAATCATTAACTTAAGAATTAAGATTCATCAGGAATATAGGAAAACCTTGAAATTTTCATTGGTTAAAACTAATTATTATTATTATTATTATTATTATTATTATTATTGGCACTATCAAAAATGCAATCGTTTATTATGATTTCGTTACCAAAGTTGATACGAATGCTTTAGTTATAAAATAACATTACTTATAGTCGGAAATATTTTTATCATCATGAAATCTTATATTTTTATTACAATATGATTATTGGTTTTATCGTGTTAATTCTAATTTAATATGTATCTATTGTTGCTTCTCTTCCTATTTTTCTCATTATTATTTATATTATTATTATTATTATTATTACAATTAATATTGCTTATATTGACTTTCCTTTTCTCATAATTATCGCTCGAATATTCTGACGTATTTTCACTTCAGACAGAAAAATGTTGAAATCAGGTCTCTTTGCAGCTGGGTATAAAACACGACTACTGGACTCGTAGCACAAAGTATCGATTTGTATCTATTTTTAGTAATCAAATATGTGTAAGACTGACAATCTATTGGTAAAGATGTTTCTAGCTGTAGAAACAGGAGAACGTGTGTGCGCATGCGTGTCTGTGAACAACCGTAAACAGACAATTCCAGTTTATTAACCAGCTTTAATCTATCTTTTCCTCTCTCTCTCTCTCTCTCTCTCTCTCTCTCTCTCTCTCTCTCTATATATATATATATATATATATATATATATATATATATATATATAGGTGGTTCAAAAGCATTGTCACCCTTACGTCTCTTCCAAAATGTAAGAGCTTGTGTCAGCCACCTGAAAGAGAAAAATATATTATATAGTGGTTAATAAAGCCTTTCAGACCACCCGGTGTGTATATATATATATATATATATATATATATATATATATATATATATATATATATATGTGTGTGTGTGTGTGTGTGTGTGTGTGTGTGTGTGTGTGTGAACAGGGGAACAAAGACTGTGTGTCGCCAAAAGCCCTGCCCTGCCCACGAGTATAAGTTACAGGGATAACGCTTTTAAGGCAATCGGTCTTTGTCATTTGAGTGCTCAATATCAAGAGACAGGATATTATAATACGATTTTAGGAAATAATTAAATTTTACTATCAAGTCGCCTGATGAGTGTCTAACATATACACGAAATTTTGAGTAAGGACAGATAGGTTGAACATTTAAATTTATTATTTGCTCTCTCTCACTCACTCTTTCTACACACGCACACACACACAGACATATATATATATATATATATATATATATATATATATATATATATCGTCTGAAGTCGGCTTCTGGAGAGAAACTGACCGTTAAAATGCAGTGTTGAATACTATCAATGTATTTATAATGGGCTGTCTCTCCCCTATATGAAGCAATCTTTTTCCATAAATATGTCATAGATAGATAGAGAGAGAGAGAGAGAGAGATAAATAGATAACATTTAGATAGATAACATATTAAGATAGCAAGAGAAAGAGGAAGATAATACATTAAAATAGATAGATAGCAAGAGAAAGAGAGATAATAGATTAAATAGATAGGTAGACAGACAGATAAACAAAAGATTAAAATAGATAGATAGATAGATAGATGACACATTAAGATAGCAAGAGAATAGATAGATAGATAACACATTAAGATAGCAAGAAAATAGATAGATAGATAGATAGATAGATAACACATTAAGATAGCAAGAGACTAGATAGATAGATAGATAGATAGATAGATAGATAGATAGATAGATAAAATAGATAGATAAGATAAGATAGCAAGAAAATAGATAGATAGATAGATAGATAACACATTAAGATAGCAAGAGACTAGATAGATAGATAGATAGATAGATAGATAGATAGATAGATAGATAGATAAGAGACTAAGATAGATAGAGACTAGATAGATAGATAGATAGAAGATAGAAGAGATAGATAGATAGATAAGATAGATAATAGAAAATAAGATAGATAAAATAGATAGATAGATAGATAACACATTAAGATAGCAAGAGACTAGATAGATAGATAGATAGATAGATAACACATTAAGATAGCAAGAGACTAGATAGATAGATAGATAGATAGATAGATAGATAGATAGATAGATAGATAACACATTAAGATAGCAAGAGACTAGATAGATAGATAGATAACACATTAAGATAGCAAGAGACTAGATAGATAGATAGATAGATAACACATTAAGATAGCAAGAGACTAGATAGATAGATAGATAGATAGATAGATAGATAGATAGATAGATTAAAAGAAATATAGATAGAGAGCCAGACAGATAAACAAAAGATTAAAAGCGATAAATAGAGAGATAGATATGGATGAATACTTGGCGTGGCACGTCTTTTAGAATGAAAGCGAGAGTTTGGAAAGCGAGTTTGGCTCTCACCAAGTGCCTCAGAAATTAATCCTATGGAAGGACGAATGTAGACTCGGTTTCTGAATCCAGATGCTGACCGTCAATGGCTATCTCACCTATTCGATGAAATTTTTAGAACTGAAAGAAAACTCTCGCTGACAAGGTAGCATGCCAAATGAAAATAAATAAAAAATGAAGTCAGGTGTCTGGTAATTAAAACTAAAGTCCAAAGAATGCCTATCAAGCTTTTTAGCGATACCATACATACCCATGTATATATATATATATATATATAGATAGATAGATAGATAGATAGATAGATAGATAGAGAAATGACGAATTGGTAAGAATCATTTTCCCTGATTACTGCACCGAGAGAGAGGAGTGGGGATAGAGCGAGAGTAGGAACTCAGAGAGATTGAGAGAAAGAAATTTTAAAAAATGGTATAGTTACAGACTGTAAGATATAAATAAACTGAGACAGACAGACAGTAAAAAAGAAAGATAGATAGACAGATAGACAGATAGATAGATTGATAGATAGATATTAACAAAGTGAGAGAGAAAATAAGAGAATTGTATGAATAGTTATCGAAATATATATATATATATATATATAACTTTGAAAGAATTAATGGATTTTTCTTTATAATCCTATATTATTTCTTATTTTATTACTCTATATGTTATATTTTCGTCTACCGGCCTGGAGACACATTACTTTTATTAGAGACTATCGAAAACCCAGGCCGATAAACGACAAATACTTTGTTTAAAATATAGAGATGTCTACTCAAACAGGTGTATCCGTTAAAATGTCTAACAGCGTTTCGACCCTCAAAGAAATCTGCCTCAGATTAAAAGTTTTGTAGAAAGAGAAAACGCGTTTCTTTGATCATTTACTTACCCACTATTAATCTAGTATATAAATTTGCTATCATAACTTTACTCTATAAATACCAATATTTGAAAAATACACACACACACACATATATATATCTATATATATATATATATATATATATATATATATATATATATATATATATATATATATATATGTCGTGAGGTAAATTGTCCTGGGTCTACAATGGTGGTATAATAAGCGACATACCTATAATAAATATTAAAAATGGAATGTGAACACCATGTTAATTGACAGAGATATTCACACAGAGACAGGGAGAGAGAGGAGTTTGATCTATAAACAAGAAGAGAGAAATCTAAACAGGAAGAGAGAGAGGAAAATATCTAGAGAGAGAGAGGGGGGAAGGCAGAACGTGATAAAATCAAAGAAACAAAGTAATTGAGCATGAACGTCACTGAGAAATCACAATATTTTACCGAGTCTAAATTTGAAAACTAAAGAGGAAGAAAGAAGCAGTCATTGATTAAGATTGCCTCATTAACAAGTTGCTTACTATGCCCCACATATTAGTAGATAGATAGATAGATAGATAGATAGATAGATAGATAGATATGAATACTCTTAGATAGATAGATAGATAGATAGATAGATAGATAGATAGATAGATAGATAGATAGATATGAATACTCTTAGATAGATTGATACTTAATATCAAACTAACACAGAAAAATTAAAATTAAAGAGGTTTAAAATTCATATTTATCTGCCTCGGTCATTTATTTATTTATTGCATGGCTAACTAGCTAGCTAAATAGATAAAGAGACATAATGAATAGATAGATAGATGGATAGATAGATAATGAACAGACTGAGGTATATATAATATTTTTATAATAATAGATTACAATAAAAACCTTTTACACAGATACACAAAAACTTTCATGTTTCAGAACTACAATGGTCCTTCTTCAAGCGATGGTAGATAACTTGTGATAAAAATGATTTATTTGGAAAACTTGAAAAGAAATCGTTACCTCTTTTGAAAGTTAAAAAGAAGAGGGCCTAAATACTGAGAACTGTGGATACTTACTCCCTCTATTCTTACTATTATTTGTGATGCTATTTTCTTTACTTTAGAAATAAAAATGTTTTAATTGCCGAAAACTGTATCTTATCAGTCATCTTCAATGAAACCTGTATTAATGAGTGTTTTCTGCCAAATACACAAATAATATATATATATATATATATATATATATATATTTGGTTGGATAGATCAGACTGACGATCGCTAAAGCGTGAAACCCAGGGTCACAAACTCACATCTATCCAACCAAATATGTTAGCTCTATCTCTGATATTGATCGCTTTCTAATAAGTACTGCGCATATAATATATGAATAATTATACATACTTATATTTATTTATATTTATATACACACACACACACACACATATATATATATATATATATATATATATATATATATATATATATATATATATGTCTGTGAGTGTGTGTATAAAAATCTAAAAAAACTTCCTTTTTATGTGTGTTCCTTCGATGAGCAAATCTTTAATTTGAGATGATCATAATTAAAAGACATTCTTAATATTGAATACATAATACCTATATATATATATATATATATATATATATATATATTAACCATCTATCTCTCTCTCTCTCTCTGTATGTATATATATATATATATATATATATATTTATAGGTAGATAGATATAGATATATACAAGCCATTTTTTATGTTTATACGTTCTTTTTTATTTATTTTTTAATAATTGTCGACTTTTGTTTATTTATTTCATAATATATATATATATATATATATATATATATATATATATATATATGTGTGTGTGTATATATATATATATATATATATATATATATATATATATATATATATATATATATATATATATATATATATATATATATATATACATACACATATATATATATTTCAAACTTTTTTAGTGGATGCCTGGATCAGAGTAGACGCTCAGTAGTTTTAAACAGTCTTTCTTTCGTCTGTCGGACTACGCACTCGAGATAACTTAAGAAAATATACCCTCCCCAAAAGGATCCGAACTTGCGTTCTCTTTGAAGGAGAAGCCAGGGCGTTTACAGGTTCGAATTCTACCGGAGAGCATATTATCTCTATTAAGATTTTACAAGTGTGAAGGCCTGTTGACGAAACAAATACGATTTAAGGAAAAAAGAAAAGAAAAAAAAAGAACGTCTACTGAAATTCGGGTACGCACTGAAAAGAATAACAACATTTGAAGTAATAAAAAAATGTCAGAACAAAGAACAAAACATGTTAATTCTTTAGAAATATAAACATATGTGGATGTGGGTGTGTATATATATGTGTGTTTTGTAAAAGTTACTGGCGACCTCTTTTTTGAAAAGTAGACATTAAATATTTTTTAATGGAACACTTTTTTTTTTTGGTATGATTTTGTTCAAAAAAAGATACTTTGCAGGCATCTACTAAAAAATTAGTTTAGAAACGTTACTAATATTTGGAAACCCTACGGAAACTTTTGCAATGTAAAAATATTTTAAAATAATCCTGAAAATAATTTTGCAATGACATTTAAGTTAAGATTGAGTTCATATATAATTTCTTCTTATATATCTAACCCTGTTTACCTATACTTACTTTTATTTTACTTCCTCTCTCATGCCCTCCGTCTCTCGCTATCTCTGTCTCTCTATTTTAGGATGTATCTTTCGTTAGCCTTGTCAATTCATATTTGCTTATCTTTCTATCGAAGTTAGATATATTTATTTTATATTTTTATAAACTATCTATCGCAGTTTGTTCATTACCCCTCTCTCTGTCTCACACTTTTTCTCTCCCTCTTTCTCTCACTTTATATATATATATATATATACATATATATATATATATATATATATATATATATATATATATATATATATCCAGGTAAGATGAGAACGAATAGAGTACAATTCGAACGTTCAGAGCATTTAATTTAAAAGAGTGCTCAATACAAAGCAGAGCAATATTCTTTATTTTAAGATATTATAGCGAAAACATGTCAAAATCGCTACACGATTGTAGAGGTGTTTTTGTAAATAACTGAGAGAGATCGATTTATTTATTTCGATATATATATATATATATATATATATATATACATACACACACATACATATATATATATATATATATATATATATATATATATATATATATATATATATATATATATAACTTCAAACTTTTGAAGGTAGTTCATGTAAAACCAGTTTAAAAACTAACGGTGTAGTATATATGTCGGAATAAAAAATAGATCCATCAATTCTTATATATATATATATATATATATATATATATATATATATATATATATATATATATATATATATATATATATATATATCGTAATTTTTCCTGCGATTAGACCCACGCGTCGGTGGACTTAAAAATAAAGCCAATTTTACAAGCAGGTCTTTAGAAAGTGAATGTAATTTCCGCGAAATGGTACAGACAATATAATTGTACTTACGGCCATATCACGTTCAAGCACCAGTTCCCGTACGATCACCGAAGTTAAGTAACGTCGAGACTGGTTAGTACCTAGATGGGTGACTGCTTTCAGAATACCAGATGCCGTAAGCTTGAATACCATATGCCGTAAGCTGGTGTAATGGATAATGGCTTAGAATTGTTAATCGGAGAGCCGAGTTCCAATTCCCGTTGGGTTCGTCATATTCACTTACGTGCAATGTATAAATCCACCTCTTCTCTCCCCAGCTATGGGTTAATTAGTAATACTTGTGTCACTAAAACTATTATTATCTAAAAAATATCGTGTCAAATATTTAGATTTCGGCATTAAATGACCCATAGAGGTTGGTATGCTGCTATACAAAAACAACCAACCAACATGATAACTGAACATTTAATTTTATTTCTGATAATGTAGGTTCTAGCACTTGGTATCGAGCTCTCTAATTACAAAGACAGCTTGCCTTAAAAACGTTATCGTCCAGAATTTCACTGCTCGAATATTTATTTTTGCTTTTTTTTTTTTTGGTATTTGAAATTTTCACTGAATAAAGTTCAATCTTGGGAAATAATATGGAATTAAGTGACAAGGAAAAAAGGTTTTTCTGCGTAAGAAATACTTTTTTCTCATCATAATACTATAGACTTATTGATTTAGCAAAATGTGGCGAATGCTAAGTAATTTTCATCTAAATCCATTCCCCAAAAATCCATGCAATAATTTTTTTTTTTTACTGTGAAATCCTACTTGGTTATGCTGTGAATTTTTCAACACCATTCCTGTATTTTGTTTCCAAGACTTTTGATTCTTAGAGGTTAAATAAATAATACTTTTATTTAATTCTAATAAAATGTGGTATAATTAAATATTGAAAAAATAATTAAAATTTAAAAAAAATCTAATCGATACAAGTTACACAGATAGATATATTAAATAAATCTTTTAAATTTTCACGTTGATCAATTCTTCATTTTAACGCTTCATTGTAAACAAGATCTGATATATCTATCTATCTATCTATCTATCTATCTATATATATATATATATATATATAAAAGATTAATTGCCAGTGTTGAATCAGACCAGGAAACAGTGGTATTAAATAGTGCTCAATACACATGTGAAAAAAATGAAATAAAAATAACATATCGTAAAGATGAAACAAGGTGGTGGATACAACTGATCTTTAAAGTATATATATATATGTAATATAGATAGATAGATTGATGTATATATATATATATATAATATAGATAGATGATTGATGTATATATATATATATATATATATATATGTAATATAGATAGATAGATTGATGTATATATATATATATATATATATATGTATATAGATAGATAGATTGATGTATATATATATATATATATATATATGTAATATAGATAGATTGATGTATATATATATATATATATATATATATATATAGATAGATAGATTGATGTTTGTATATATATATATATATATATATATATAGATATATATATACATACATATATATGTAATATAGATAGATAGATTGATGTGTGTATATATATATATATATATATATATATATATATATATAGATAGATTGAATGATAAAATGTCGATAGCAACAGCGTAAACAACCTCCAAATTAATTTCTATCTATCATGAGAAAACCTATATAGATAGATATGAATAAACCGAGATGAAAAATTGTAAATATATATATATATATATATATATATATATATATATATATATAGGGGTTTTATATAAATTATGGGGTTTTCAAAATTTGGAAATCTCAAATTAACTATATTATTTCCGCAGAATAAAAATGTTTTTTTCGAAAGAAGAAAGAAGTGGTTTCTTTTTC